CATAGGTCACACTATAAGCCGCAGGTGTTCACGTTGTAACATGATATATTTACATATAAAGTTTTTTTTAACTTTTAATTAAGTACATACTGGTAACACACACACAGTAATTTTTATTTTATTTTTTATTTTCTGAACAGTACCTGTTACACGGCTGATAAAAAAAATACAGTAGTCTACCAGGAGGTCACTGACCGCTACCCCCCCAAGAGAGACGTGTATTGGGCAGCTATGTGAGCGCCTGGGTGTTAGGAAGCTAAATGTTTTGGTGACATGTAGCTCGTTAGCCCATAAAAATAAAAAAAATCATAAATTAGCCGCAGCATTGTATAAGCCTCTGTGCATTCTTGTTTACCACCAGCTGGTACAACAAAACAAAACAAATCAACAAAATCAATCCGAACATATGTGTCACGCCTCTTCTGTTCTAATATCAAGTCTTTACTGGTTTTGTTTATTGGGACTTTATGTAACTCATTTTCTGCGTGGTTCGACTTCTTCACAGTTCCAAAGTGCCTTGTTGTTAAAGTCACTGAGGTTAATCGTGATAACCTCACTGACAGAAGATAAGAGAAACAAGTTGGATTCTTCATCCATCTGTATTTTCTTTTCTTGCTTTCTCTTGTCTACGTTGCATCAGTCGCTGTGCGAGAGGTGGGGGACACCCTGCACAGGTCACACGTCTATCCCAGAGTCATACAAGACGACCAGTTGCACTTTCACTCACATGTATGGACAATTTAGAGTTATGCAATATTCAGTTTAACCTCTTTTTTTTTTTTTTTTTACCTGCAACAATAAATGTTTAAAGTGGCAAGCCAATTTGTCATTTAAAGTTGAGCTCTGCATATCAAATTTCTATAATTCAATTTTTTCTTGTTGAAATGAACATTGCAAAATTCTGCAACCCCATTGCTGAATCATATCCAAACAAGAAATTATTCATAAATCTAATATATTTCAGAATATCAAATTCTTGTAAATGGGAACTGAGAAAATCTGCACCTGATTGCATAAAAAAACGTGAACTGGAAAGTGGTGCAAAAAAAAAAAAAAAGTTATCCAGATGATGAACAGGAAAAAAAAAGATTGACTAAAGGCTCTGGGAAAAAGATGAACTAAAATAACAAAATAAATATATATATTAAAAACCTGATTGCCTTTGTGATGTCTGTGCTGTGAATAACATTGCATCATACCTAGCTGTCTTTGTTGCAACTCTGAAAACTCATAAAATATTTTATCCTAGTCGCTAAGCAAAACAATACAATCTGAAAACATCTTAATCTGCGTTTAAACATTTTACAAGGACCTCCTCGGACTAGCTGAATACCAACTTCAGCAACAATAGACAAGCACAAAATAGTCTCACATTTATTCAACACTGAAATAAATAAAAATAAAAAAGGAAATCACAATTTATTTTTGTTGTTAATCAAAACACCATTTGCATGTGGAGAAAAATATGGTTTGAAAACTCTCTCACTGTAAACAAAACTATAAACATTTATCGGACTAGTAATAATGCAGTTTGTTGAGAATAAATATTTTTAATTGAAACTTTTAAAGATTTTAACTCATAATTTGTTGTTTTGATTATATGTTACAACTGCCTGCCATAATAGGTGTACAACAGCCCGACGTGTGAACTTTCCTCTGTTTATTCCGCTTTTAGTTCAACAGAAGGTAAGACTATACATAGTCGTTTAAAACAAAAACTTATTTATGAATATGTACAAATAACTTAACATTTTAGTTTTTTTTTTTACTCATTTTAAACGCTAATCTTATTTTTCCACCTTTGATCGTTTGATTTCCGGGTTCTGGCTAACTTTTAACCAATCAGCATTCGACCTCCGCACTACGTCACTCGCGACAGAACAGAGTTTAGTCTCGTTTGATTTCCGGTTTCTGGCTAACTTTTAACCAATCAGCATTCGACCTCCGCACTACGTCACTCGCGACAGAACAGAGTTTAGTCTCGAGTAAAGCTGCAGATTGTCCACAGCTGGAAAATGACAGCAGAAATCTGGGACGTTGTTATTGTCGGTGCGGGATTATCCGGATTGAGTGCAGCTCATTTCCTCAAGAAACGAGACGACAAGCTGAAAATACTAGTACTGGAGGGAAAAGGTTGGTTTCGTGACTTAAAACGAGTTAGCTGAAATGAAAAGGAGCGTTTAATGGTTTGAAATTGATTTGTTTTATTTGTTTGTTTGTTTGTTTGCTGTGGCCCAGAACGAGTCGGAGGTCGCACCGTGTCGTCTCAAATACCTGCAGCCAATGGTGGTGTTGATCTCTGGGACTTTGGAGGACAATGGGTTACAAGGTAACCAAGACTCATTACCTATATTTATTTATAAAGCACCTTTCATATGCAAAGTACTTTAAATGGTACACAACCTGAAAGAACAGCAACAAACAAGCTAACAACAAAAAACAATATACTGTAATTTAAGACAGCAAAAAGTTGTGAAATGATCATACATTGGTAAAAGGGGACACAATTGCTGTTTTAGTTTAATAAAACAAAAAAATCCAACGAGAAGCAAATGAAGAAGACGGTACGCAAAAGGTTTGTCGTTACTTAAAGCAATGGTTCACAACAATAGTCCCTGAGGAACACCGTCCTGCATGTTTTGATTGTTCCTCTTCTCCACCACACCTGATTTGAATGAAAAGGCGATTAACAGACTTCTGCCAAACTTAAGGAAGTGATCAAACCATTGATCCATGTGTGCTGGAGCAGAGAAACTAAAGCATACAGGATGGTTGGTGTTCCTCAAGGACCAGCATTGGGACCCACTGATTTACAGGAATTCCACTTTTCATGCTAGTATTTCAAACTAAAGTCATCTTCCTCTGACAAGCGATGGTGTTATAACTATTTTGGTCAAAGCTTCTAAATACGGCATGTGAGCTGTCACCAGGGGCACCACCAAGAGGGAGGTCAGGGGGCACCATGGCCCACCACTGGTCCCCTTGGCCAGACAGCTCTGAAGTCCCATGCATTTTTATTTTCTCCTAGCTATTTGGGATCAGTGGAGCCTCGTAAACATAAAAACAAACATTGTTTTTGAGCAATTAGGAGTTAGGAATTTTAAAAACGTAGTTTTACAAGAACATCTGGTCAAAAAGCAATGTCCTCAACATTACGATGCAGGGTCTCAAGTGGTTATATGCGTTTTATTTAACTAAAAGTAAATTCAGGAGGGTACAAGCTTCAGTAGGTTGAGCAATAGAGCTTTAAATATCAACTGTAAATAAAAACAAAATGCTAGACTCTTTTGGTTTTGGTGCCACCTCAGAATTTTAAATTTCTGGATGTGCCAAGGGATGCCACTCGGAGTGTGCGTTGAGGAAGATGCTCAGCTCCTACCACCCCAAAGTGTAGCTCAATATCTGTAAAAGTGATAGTGATAGCCATGTTTGTGTCGGCTAGGGTCGCTTAGCGGTGGTGGCCATCTTGAACTGGGTTGTCTCGAAACGTGAATCAGTTGTAGATGTCCTTTACATCCAATGATTACTGTCTTGAAGTTTTCTTTAAAAGTCCTCCCAGTGGTTTATGAGAGTTTTTGCTAACACCACAGACAAACACAGAGACGCTGATAAATGCTTTATTGCTCATTTGCCTCCTGTGGTTGGTAATAATTGGTTACTTTCCATATTTAGGGTTGACAATTGCCAGCACAGACCCAAAATAGCTCAGAGAACTTCGGTCACCATAATTGCAGCAAGGTCACTTATTGTTGAATGGCTCTGTTTGGGTATCACAGGATATCAGTGGCACTCGATGGCATGTCGACACTCACCTGCAGACACAGTGCAAGCTGAGATTGTCACCAGTTTCCTGGGGCCATTAGCAGGATCAAAGTAGTACTGATCCAACATTTAGACGACTCAGAGGGAGGATTAGGAACATCAATGTTCATCACACTAACAGATGAAACACTCTGTAACTAATTTGTATAAGAACCCTCAGTGAAGATGCTGTGCAACTTGGAGGCAGTTTTGATTTGAACCTGTATTCTGCAGGATTACTGTAGATTACCATGATTTCACTTGTTCTATTTGCTGCTTTGCACATTTAGAAAGAACTTGTGAAAACTGCATTTTGTAGCCAAAATTTGTTGACGTAGCCGAAACCGAATCATTGCAAAACAAAAAGCAGTAGCTAAAGCGCAAACTGACAAAACCATAAAAGCAATAATAAAAAACAATAGATGCACAAAATGTGATGTAAAAAAAAAATAAAAAAAAATAGCCGGTTGTATTTGCTAGGCTTACGTCATATAGTGCTTTGGGCTGCGGTAGCTCAGTGGTACTGGCACTGACCACTGTCAGCGGTCTTGTGTTCGAGCCCGGGTTTTGTCAGAATCTGTGTAATCGGTGTAAAACAACGGTCAAATCTTTCATTCAAGTTCGATCTAAGTGGTGACGTCTGCAGAAGGGAACAGCTGGAATAAAAACATCATCGTGAATGTTTAACGTTAAATGGCTGTTGCTGTTGAGAAAGTATCAGAGGCTGTGATTATTTTATTTTATTTTTTTTTTTGGACCGAAGATAAATATTGTGCAGTGCATTGTTTAAATTGCAGTATAATAAAAAAAATGGGGAAATGACGTTTTCATCTAGTTCAAGGATTCACTTCGTTTTGCCGAAAGCCATCTTTCTTTGCGATGCGATAAACTTTCTGAGATGAAACCGTATAAAACCTTGAACGCTTGTATCGCAAAGCCTTTTCAACAACTTTCTCTTGCAGCTCACAACCGCATGTCATGGAGCTCATAAAAGAGCTGGGCCTGGAGGTCTACCCACAGTTCAATACTGGGACGAAGGTGCTCCACGTGGGCGGGCCGGCTTCCAAAGTTCGAATGTACAGGACCAGCATTCCTGCTATGTCCCCGCTGGTGCTCCTGGACTTGACTCAGCTCATGTGGAAGGTGAGACGTCGGACACAAATCTGTATTCTGTCCTTTGGACCACGTTCAGTCAACGCCGTCTTTCCCAGTGCTGGAGCCGTGATAAAGATCAGCTAAACAGCCGAGGGAAAAACAGTGTACTTACTGAGATAAAGAAGGGCTTGATTTATTGCTTGTATACTTTTTGCATTAGGAATTAGGCTATGTTGTTTGCTAGATATATGCTTTTCTAACCATGCGGGTACAAATGTATTGTTTTGCTTTGCGCTTTTAGGATCAATACAGTACATTTATCACGCAGCACAGAAGCACATGTTCTGTTCCACATAAATGCTTCATGTAGCTGTGGGAAGTGGTGTAGGTGGGGAAAATTGTAGTGGCAAAATCATGTTTGGCAGCCTCCAGCTATTCTTTTGTTGTCTGTGTCACTGGGATGCTTTTGATTGTCCCTGGTAAACCATCGTGCTTGATGTGGTGATTATACTCTGCTCTCAGATTGACAGGCTGAGTGGAACAGTGTGCGTCCACGATCCACTGAAGACTCCCAATGCTGTGGGACTGGACAGCATGACTCTGCAATCATACATCGAGCAACACGCTTGGACCGCTGGTCAGTTTAAATTTGTTTGTATCTTCAGTTTTCTCTACGTGCTGTTGGTCAACACATTCCGCCACACATTTGGGATCAGATGTGTCGCTGAGGTTTACACATGAACACCGTGCATTGGCTTTTTAGACATGCAGGTAAAAATGTTGAGTGAGAAGACCTGCCCCGTTGATATTCTTGAGAGCATGCACACAGATTTCTACAGCAACGTAACCCTTGAATATTAAATTAAATATTAAAGGGAATTTAATAAATAAGTAGGATTTAAAATGAAAGATAATTTTATGCAGCTTTCGGTGTGTTCCTTTTTGAATTTGTAAGAAATTTTCCAATTTTGCAGTTTAAAAATTAACCAGAACACCACGCAGTCATATTTCCAGCATGGTAAGTCAGATGAACGGTATGAACGCTAAACGCATAATCCAACATGGCTGCCTCGTGCATGCAAACAATCAAAGCTACGACCCAACGCATAAAATTTCATACAGTGCCTTTCAAGCAATGGGACATTTCACATGGCAAAAACAAGAAAACAGTTAAAGGTATTAATTGCAATGTTATGAAGCCCAATCAATAAAAATATCATAATTTGAGTGGTAAAATTGATGTAATGATTACTTTCTGAAAGTTAAAAAAAATATATGTCTAGTGTTCTATGAGATATTTTGCTTACAAACAAACGTACACGATAATAAATATTAAAGTTATTAAAGTTCTAGAATTGCACCGCTCAAGGTGGCTGCATGTTGGAGCTGCTCTGTTAATTTCTTTCTGAGATTTTGCTTTTGGAAACTTTAATTCCTCTTTTTCTGGATGTAAATCACAATTTTTTGGATTTCAATCGTTATCTTCAGCTTGTTATCAAGTCGGGTCGACAGCTTGAGTAGGGAGGTCCAGACATCTCTTTCCACAGCCTCTTCCAGCTCTTCTGGGAGGACCCCAATGCGTTCCTAGTCCAACCTTGAGACATAGTCTCTCCAGTATGTTTTGGGTCTTCTCCAGGGTCTCCTCCCAGTCAGACATGTCTGGAGCACCTCCCTAGGGAGGCACCCAGGAAGCATCTTTACCAGCTGCCCGAACCACCTCAACTGGCTCCTCTCAATGTGGAGGAGCAGTGGTTCTACTCCGAGTCTCTACTGGATAAATTAACTTCTCACCCTATCTCTAAGGGAAAGTCCATCTCTACAGAGGAAACTCATTTCAACCGCCTGTATCCACAATCTCATTTTTTCAGTCACTACCCAGAATTCATGACCATAGGTGAGGGTAGGAACATAGACCGACCAGTAAACGGAGAGCTTTGCCTTACCGCTCGGCTCTCTCTTCACCACAATGGACCGGCACAGTATCTGCAATACTCGGACACCAATCCATCTGTCAATCTCACGCCCCATTCTTCCCTCACTTGTCAACAAAATCCCGAGATACTTGAACTCCTCCGCTAGAGGATGAACCTCGACCCGAAGAGAGCAATCCACCCTTTTCCAACTTAGGCCTCAGATTTGGAGGTGCTGATTCTCATCCCAGCTGCTTCACACTCGGCTACGAACCACCCCAGTGAGAACCACCCCAGTGAAAGCTGAGGATCGCAACACGATGACGCCAACAGGACCGCATCATCCACAAGTAACCCCCAAACCAGACTCCCTCCGCCCCCTGGCTGCACCGGGAAATTCTGTCCACAAAAGTTACTAACAGAATCGGTGACAACGGGCAGCCCTGGCGGAGTCCAACTCCCTAGTTGGACACCAAGTTGGACACCTTGGACCACTTTTACCTGGATCCTATATAATATATGAAAATTATTCCACCTATTGTGTTAAGATAAAAATCAACAGGAACAAAATCACACATTAAAAAGTAAAATGTCAAAAGTGTATGAACTTTGGTTCTATTTTGTCTGCAGTCTTTTGGGTCAAGTATAAAAGTCTAAAGTGGTTAACGAGGCAGTCGGCTAAAACAACTAGGTGTCCTAATACCAGTACGCACTGTTTTTAATTATAGATATTTTGTTATAGTTGGGCCATTAAACTCATTCTCAGCTTCAAGTTCAGACATCTTTGGCTAAATGAAATGCACTTTTATTCCAGCGTATGAAGATGACTCTTGTTTCAAAGACATTCTTGTTTAATTAACATTGCTGAAAATACCTACAGCACAAGGATGACTATGGTGTTAAAAAATAAAAGATGTAATTAAAGATCATTCTGTTTCTCTGGCACGTGATGACAGCTGGCTCATGTGCTTCATTAGATTTCGAAGGGCTACTTAAAGAAACGGCCATCATACCAAGCTCCATCTGTACACGTGTACTTCCTGCTAATCAACAGACCCACTGTTTGACTCAACTGTTGGAGACGACGCTGTGTCCTCTGCTCAGGATTTATAAAGTTACTTATCTTCTTCTGGTCTCTGCAGGATTTTAGAGCTGAAACCAACAAATTATTCTTATTTCCTTTTTTTGTGTCATTGCCTGTTATCACACATTATGTAAAAATGTGCTTGTTTGTTTTCATCGTCGTTTCAATACGTATAAAAATAAAAAGGTGGAGCGTCTAAACCAATTCTGGACTAAGGATGGGGGGGGATCCTATGAATTGATGCTTTCCAGCACCTCGCTTGTCCTATAGATCTTCCCATCTTCAGCTTCATCAGAGTTATCTTAGCCCTCTTTAACCAGACAGAGTTTTAGTAGATGACTTTCTCAAGGCAGGTTGGCTGTGGTGGCTTCATTTTTCCATTTTCCAAAATTAATTTAATGGATTTATTTATTTTTTTTAATATACCAACTGTGATTTGTATTCTTAATCTTTTTCTCTAACCTGTGTGGGGAGATGTTTGATCGTCATGATTTCTTATGTTTGGTGGCAGCCTCTTGTGTTTAACTGGTGTTGATTCTGGGGCTGTTTTTAATAGCTGTATCTATACTAAATGTTTTTACAAGTTCAAATTTTAAAGTGTGTTTTTTAATTTTTTTTATCTCAGTTATTTTTTTATTTTTCTTGGGAGTTGTGTGAATGTTTATGAAGTATTGTGATACACGTTTCTTCCATAAGTTTTTTGGCACATTTCTCGTTCCACAATTTTTGTGCTATTTCAACAAATCTTATCAAAAAGTTCAGCTCTTTCAGGAAAATCCTGCTCTGACTTTTGGTATTGGTGCAACTTTAGCTTTTTGAAATATTTAGCCTTTTCTGCCATATTTGTTCTCATAGAAAATTAATTGAGCTCATTTTACATCCTTCAAATCTTTAGATGGGTTTACAACCTTTTACTACTCCTTTTACATTTTGTTCTGGTTCAGCTTCTTTCAGCTTGTGAAAATTTTAACTTTTTTCAGCAATTTCCAGCTAATTTTAGCTGCTTTTCTGCTGTTTTGTGCTCCTTTCAGATTATTTCTGCTAACTACAACATTTTTGTTCTTCTAATTTCTTTCTGCTAATTTTAGCTTGTGCTCCGTTCAGCTTATTTTTGCAAGTTTCATCTTTTTCTACTATTTCATCTACTATATGGCTACTATAGCTGATATATCTTGTCTACTATATAATTATGCTAATTTAAGCTTTTTTCAAATTTTCACTTTTTTGTTCTCATTTTTGGTTCTTTCAGCCTAATCGGGCAAACACGTTCTTTCTGCTTTCCTGTTCTAATTTAAGCTTGTTCTACCTTTTCAGCTAGCTTTTTGCTAATTTTAGCTGTTTTCAGATAAATTCAGGTTTTCATGATAATCTCTGCTCTTTCAGTCTAACTTTTTACTGTTAATTTCAGCTTGTTATGCTCCTTGCAGATTATTTCTGCTAGTTTCAGCACTTTCTGCTATTTCAGCTACTATTTAGCTGTTTTGTGCTAAATTTAGCCTTTTCAGCTAATTCCACTTTTTTCAGCTCCTTCTACTTCCTTCTGGTAATTTAAGCTTCTTTCTGCCTTTTCAGCTACTTTCACCTATTTGTAGTTTCAGCCTTTTTTTTAGCCAATGTCCTAGTTGTTGTTCTAGTTTCTGCTTATTTAAACCTAATTCAGCAAATGTATGTTTTCTGCTTTCTTCTTCTAACTTAGGCTTGTTCTTTCATGTCAGCTACACTTCAGCATGTTATGAGCTAATTTTAGCTGTTTTTCAACAAGTTCTTCTGTAATAAGCATTAACACTGCATTTTCGCAGGTAATGCAGTTTTTCTAGTTGCTTTAATTTTTTACTTTTTTCAAATATAAAAAAAACCAGCTAATTCCAGGTTTCAGGGCGACATGAAACATTACCAAGGGGATCGATGTTTTTGCAAGGCACTGTATGCGAAGCTGGATTGTGCGCACACTTCAGCTTTTGTGCATGCATGGGTTTATAGTCCAGCTCTTCAGCCAGAAGGACAAAAATAAATAAATAAATCAAAAGAGGAGCTTGAAGAGAAGCAACAGGCTGACAAAAACATGAAAGATGAAATCTAAAGTGTGCACTTTGCAGCCGTAATAAAATCTGCTTTAATACTTTATAAAAACATAATTCAAAAGGTGATGTTCTACAGATACGTTTACTGTCTCAGTTTGGCAAGCACACATTCATTCGTTCATTCTCTTATTTGACAGAAAACTTTTTGTTGGGACGTCGAGTTGTTCACGTGAAAGAACTTGTGGCTTTAACTGGCATAATCGGATGTTTTTAGTCAAATTAAACGACTTCACCGTGCTGGATTTATTGACTTCACACTAAAAAAACACGTCAAAATTTGACAAGATGATTGCAGGTAATTATCACCCTCTCAAGCAGGATGGGAGCTCTTTTTATGGTGGAGTAAAGTGCTGTTTTGGGGCTCGCATAGAACAGCCAAGCAAGATGCTATCGTTGCAGCAAAACGTCTGACCGTCACATGTCTCCATTCATCCATCCCTCTGCGACAGAGCTGAAGGAGCAACTTGGAGTGTGCAGCAGGTCGGTGTTTGGCATGGAGCCATCCCAGATGTCATTTCTGTTCTTCCTCATGTATGCTGCCGCAGCTGGAGGGGTGATGGCGCTTCTGGCGAGCACTCCAGGTTGTGCTCAGGAGTTCAAGATAAAGGTACATCAGTCAGATCACTTCCTCTGTTGACTTATTAGTATTTTCCAAACACGAGGTCGTACGCCACATGCACTTGAAGTTTGAGGCTTGTATCCGATTTTCCCGTAACATATAATTGCAAAGTAATCCATGTTTGTATCTCTTCCTGTTGTAAAAGTGTAGACATGGACTAAAGGCCAAAAAGGACAGCGGAAACTAATGGATTGACAAGTTCATTCAGAAAATGGGACAAATGCTTTTGGTTCAAAACATCCATTAAAGCAATATTTTTGTTCCAGTTTTTTTTTATATCAGTAGCAGCTTTATGTGTTCCAGTCATACCCTGAAGAAATTACTTAAAGCGTGGAAACAGTCGAGCTGCAGTGAGACCATTACTGTAAATGTCATTTTAGAACTCATCTAGATTTGTTTGTCGCACGCCACAAAGAATTCAAGGCTTAAAAAAAAAAAAGGTTTACATCTGCAGAGTTTTGTTTGTACACTGTAAATGTTTTAATAACTTTAATGAAATGGCTTCATTTGAACTAACATTTTACAGATATGACCTCTTTAAAGTCCTGATTATATTTACTTTAGAGATGCACGATATTATCGTCATAGTATCGGTATCGGCTGATATTAGCGATAAAGTGAAATATCGGCTATTCCATCAAAATAACACCAATATCAAAGGGGCTGTTTTTTATATATATATATATATATATATATATATATATATATATATAT